CAAACTATTATAAATGTGGAAGGAACATTTTTAAAGGTTCCCGTTTTTAAACAAAATTCCAAGTTAGTTTTAACAGGATGGCAATCCGTTTTGCTCCCAACATCAGCGATTTAGGAAGAGTTGTTAAAAATGGTAGAAGGGGAACTGAAAAATGGTCTGGAAATCACACACACAAAACTTAGTATTGCACACTACAATTTTATGAAATTGGTAAAATTAGTTTCTCAGACTGATTTATGAAATAATCAAATATTCTCTAAGCAAACACAGGAAAGGAAACAATGTATAGTCCTTAAGTTGGGTGTTACGTGATGATATAGCCTACAGTCTTTTCCTATTTGACTCTACTCAATGAAATTTTTTGGCCATTCATTTTAAAAAGAATAATTCACTAGAAAGTCTAAAAGTAAAAACATTTCTGTGGTATCTTCAATGCCTATAACTGTGCCCACTGTTGAATGAAGGGGAAAAGTAAATACTGATTTCTTCCCTGGCTGGTTGTTCTAATTAAGCATCCTCTTGGCTCCCAAGGCAACGCAGAATGAATCCCTAAGATGCAGCCAGTCCAGAGAAAACCTCCAGAGAAATGGACACCAGCTTCCATTCCAGGGGGAAAGGCAGAAAGACTGTTTTCTGGAGCAGTCACTGTGACAGAGTGCAGCAGGGTCCCCTTCCGAAGGCGGTGGCGCCCTGGGAGGGGATCCGCAGAGTCTGAGTCAGAGATCACCGTCCTGGTCCTCTCTCCGGAGACAAATGGAACAGAGAGAAGGGCAAACCCTGAAAACCCTTCAGAACACAGTAAAGGAAAGGGCAGGAAATAAGGAAGAATCAGTGCGGGCTTCATTGAGAATACAGGTATTTTTATTCTGGCCAGATACTAGCCCAGCTGTATTCTTGCAGAGGCAAAAAAAAAAGGATGCCCACCCGGTGTGGCTAGGTGGGTTGAGTGTCTTCCCATGCACCGAAAGGTCACCTGTTCAATTCCTGGTCAGGGCACATGCCCAGGCTGCCAGCTCGACCCTCAGCATGGGGCGTGCAGGAGGCAGCCGGTGGATGTTTTTCTTTCATTGTTTCTGTCTCCCCCTCTCCCTTCCTCTCTATTAAAAAAAAATATATTAAAAAAAAAATGAATACAGCAAATCACTTCCTAATATTCTATCAGGTAGAAATCTCCATACTTGGCCCTTCTGAATCTCTCTGTAATAAAAAGTAATGATCTGCCCTGGCTGGATGGCTCAGTTGGTTGGAGCACCATCCTGTACACCAAAAGGTTGCAGGTTCAATTCCCGGTTAGGAATTCTCTCTCTCTCTCTCTCTTTAAAAACAATACAAACATATCCTTGGGTGAGGACTAAAATTAATTAATTAATTAAAAAGTGATGATTAGGTTTGTAAGGTACTTTTATACCACCAAGCAAAGCCACCTTCACATGTCGTTCACTTATTCATCAGTCACTGAAGTCCACTCTGCTGCAGACGCTGATTCATCCCACGGGTGAATCAGATGCTCAATAAGAGCTCGTGTCTCAGGAGCTCATGGGAGGATAGGGGAACATAAAAATGTACACAACAGGGCCATACAATTTCTAATTCCCACGATCCATGTACAGGATAAAAACTTCTATGTAAAGATATTTTTCAGAGAATCTGGACATCCAAAGTAGTAAAGAATTTGCTATATTGAGGGATAGAAAAGTAAAGTGTAATTATGTATCAAGATAATGACTAAAAAAGAGTAAAATGGCTAAGGGAAAGAAAATGGAAGTATATTAGTGAAGATAATGATCAGAATAAATTTAGCAAAAGAGAAAAATAGCCAAGGTATGACTATAGAAATCTATCTAGATACTTATGAAATATAATTCAACTTAGCATAGAATTTTAAAACAGAGGCATGCACAACACAAGAACCATGGTTGAATACTTGTTTGGAATACCGAACTTTGGGTTTTCCTTTTTTTTTTAAATCCTCACCTGAGGATATTTTTCTATGTATCTTCAGATAGAGTAGGAGGGAGGGAAGGAGAGAGAGAAACATCGAGGCGAGAGGGACACACTGACTGGCTGCCAAGAGCGAGAGTTTAAGGCCGAGTTTGGGGCAGCAGGAAGGGAATGCTGGTGAATTTCACGTTAGCCGCTGTGACAGCCCAGAGACTGACACAAGGCTCTGTGTCTTGAGCAGAAGAGTGGGCTAGTCCCATATTTACGTGAGTATGGATGATTTTTGCCTAAAGAGAGGCTACAAAATGAGAGGGGAAAAAAGGGGACCAAACCTTCCGGAACCTTAACATTTCGTGGCCAAATGGAGGGAAACGAGCTGCCTAGGAAGCTGAGACAAAGCAGGAAGAAAAATGAGAGCAGACGAGGGAAGGAATGTCCCCAGAGGGGCGGAGAGGTCAGTGCTAGGACTACACCGATGCCCACATGCTGTGCTGGCGACTGAGGAGTCCCCACTGCCGTCAGCAGAGCAGAGGCCAGGTGTCACTAGCCAGAGCCGCGTTCAGGAGCGGGGTGCGGGGACCAGACTGAAATAGCCTGAGCAGCGAATGGGGAGGGGGTTGCGGAAATGCTGGCAGCGGATGCAGACAACTTCCTTGGCACTGAGGAGCCGAGAAGGATGCAACTTGTTATGTGCAAGAGAATTCGAGAAAAATAGAAATTTGTTGTTGTTTATTTTGTCTAGCTTTATTTAAGCTTCGGTGTGTTGGGATTTGCTTTGTTTTGAGACACTGGAACCTATTCAAAAGTAAACGGGGGCTCTGAAGCCATGGAAAGAAACCGTGTGATGGTGTCAAGATCTTGGGAAAGCCAGGGGTCAAGACGGAGTGAGGAACGAGAATCAGGCGGCACCGGGTACGGGTGGACTGCACGCTGGGTACCAAGGGGCAGGGGCCTCGGTCTGTGTGTGCCTGCGTGCGAATCAGTCCGTGGGGCCACTTGCTCACGGTAGGTCATTTGCTGAAATAGCCACTTGTAAAAGGGTGATGGGATGCAACTGTCCCTGGGGGAAATGAGAGAATTCATTGACCAGACAAACAGAGTAGGATCAGGGGAGCATTAAGAGTCTTAGGTATGTATAGCGCTTCAACCCGCCCCATTGTGAGACTTCGACAGCCCTTGGCCACCAGTGGACAGACAGGAATGAATAGCGCACATCAATGGGGCCATTCAGGAACGAGGTTTTGCCTTTTGAACCAAAACAGCAATGGCTAAGAAAGAACAGGGAGTGTTTCTGAAATAGCAGAACTCTGAACTGGACTGAGGGAGAGTGGAAAAAGGACAGAGCTGATGGCCTGAGAGACAGGAGAGGGGTCAGCAACCGGGTCCCCGATGAGGGTGAAGAGGCCATTGCAGTACAAGGCTTTGCGCCGATAAGCCTGGTGGACAGGCGGTTGCTGCTGGACATTAAGATCCTTGAATTAGTGATTTCTTAAAGCTTTTTTTTAAAAAAAAATTTTTGTTTATATCCTCACCTGAGAATATGTTTTGTTGATTCCTTTTTTTAGACAGAGGAAGGAAGAGAGAGAGAGGAACATCAGTTTGCTGCCTCTTGTATGCACCCCAACTGGGGACCGACCCCACAGCCCTATTGGGAATGAAATCCCTGAGCTTTCGGAGTACAGGACAATGCTCCGACCAACTGAGCCACACCAGCCTTGAATTAGTGACCTGAGAGAGGACATGGCCTGGGGGATGCGAAGGTCCTGAGGGTGTGTATGGGAACAGAAGACGGAGACGGAGTAAAGAAACGGTCCCTGAAGATGACTGGCAGGTTCAGGAACTGAGAAGAGGAGGTTCTGACAGGCCACCGCCGTTATGTTGAAGCCCTCCGGAATGAAGGCGTCCTTGGAGGAAAGGGAGGAGATGATCCCGGTACCCGCACCTGAGACGGAGTGGTCGAGAGGTCTGTGGATGGCCGCACAGACTGTCCACGGAGGACACTGCACTGAAACAGCCTCGGGGAAGCAGTTCTTATTATTTTATTTTATTGTTTTATCCTCACCCGAGGACCTTTTTGCATTTATCTTCAGATAGAGTGGGAGGGAGAGAGGAGGGGGGGAAAGAGAGAGAGAGACACATAGACTGGTTGCCATTCACACAACCCAACCAGGGCCGGGGACAAACCGCAACCGAGGTACATGCCCTTAGTGGGAACCGAACCCGGGACTCTGGACCGCAGGCCAACGCTCTAACCGCTGAGCCTAACCGGCCAGGGTGCAATTTTTATTTTTAATGAATTGCTCTTGGAATAATGATCTCAAAGCCGCACCCAGAAGGTACACATCAACCCTGGCTCCAACTCCTATTTCTAGAATAACATTTAAACCAAGCTATTACTCTCTAAAAACCCAATTATACTTACTGACAAAATTTTGATATAGTTGACTTACAGCACAGCATATCAAAATCACCATTACTGTTGTGGGGGAAGATTTAAGTTGGCCCTGGCCAAGCAGCTCAATGAGTTAGAGCATCGCCCCAATTCACCAAGGTCGCAGGTTCGATCTCCAGTCAGGGCACATACAAGAATCAACCAATGAAAGCATAAATAAGTGGAACAACAAATTCTTTCTCTTTCTCTTTCCCCTCCGCTTCTCTCTTCTCTTCCCCTCCCCCTCTGAAATGAATTCAAGAAAAAGAATGAACTGTTCCTTATGACTGCCCAGAACAGGGTTCAGTAAGTCTTCTGTACAGGGTCACATAACAAATACCTTGGACTGTGTGGGCCAAACGCTCTGTCACAACTACTCAATTCAGCCATCGCTGCACGAGAGCAGCCACTGACAACGCGTGAGTGAGCGAATGGTGACACGCTGACCCCAATCTGTCCCTCTCCCTGACCTCAATTCATTCAGGACCCAAGTGACAGAAAGAAGTGGTATTGGAATTGCAACATCAGTCAACTTCTTTCAGACACAAAAATAAGGAAAATCAGCTACAAGTTCATGGTTTTCCTTCCCCTTCCCCCCAAAGAAATAAAATTGAAAGCAGGCACCCACCTGAACATATAGTTCTCTTAGTTCATACTGAAATTTCTTGGGATCTGTGGTAATTGTTACGGGGCCAATTTCTGTGAAGATAAAAATGACAGCGGTAAATAAATAGTAATCAACATAAAGACGTTAATGCATTGTGTCTGCAAACATCTCTTCACTGTGCACTCTATGGTTATTTACTACTACATAATAATCTGCAAAATGACAGACTACCTCTTCATTTATAGCTACCAAAGAGTAACTCACAATCTGCTGTCGACCATGCGTACGTAAATGAGTGGGTGTTTAGCCGTGCAACCTGCAAATGAACAGTCAAAAATGGCGCAAGACAAAGAGTCAGGAGACCCCAGTATCGGTCCCTTTTCACTTTCACCGGTCAGTAAATGTTTATCGAACATCTACTTCATTGTTAGACTCTAAAAGAATCCCTTATTCATCCTACGATTCTGTTTTCTCAACTAGAAATTATAAATGGGTCTGTAGCTTTTCTGTAAGTCCAAATTGATTGAAAATAAAAAGTTGAACATGAAACAGAAAAAGAACAAGTGACCCTCAATACCTGTCCCACAGGGTTTCTAAGAACTTGCAGAAGCAAAGATACGAGGACATTAAAGGTTCAGGAAACTGTCCCTATCACTTTCTTCCCCATGGCTGGGGTTAGTGTCTCTTGCTACCACCATTCCCTGAGATGGCTTTGACCACCATGACTATCTCTGGGGTCGCTGCCACCCTCCTAACTGCCCCGGTGTTCTATACAAATCACTGCCTCATATAGGAACAGGTGGGGACAAGCATTCGCTGGAAAACCAGGACTGAGGTGGGGTGAAGAGAAGGAGCCCAGACACCAGTGCGGGTGGAGCTGGCGATATGCTTTTTGCAGGATATAGCACGTCTATAGTAAACATCTTAATGTGTTTTAAAAATAAAAATCGCCCGGCAGGTGTGGCTCAGTGATTGAGTGTCAGCCCATGCACCAAGAGGTCACTGGTTCGATTCCCAGTCAGGGCACATGCCCAGGTTGTGGGCCCGATCCCCAGTGGGGGGCATGCAGGAAGTGGCCAATGTTCTCGCTCATCGATATTTCTCTCTCTCTCTAAAATCAATAAAGAAAAAAATTTTTTTAAATAAAAACATAAAATAAATTCAACCTTTAAAATAGACAAGTGGAAAGTGGCCCTTACAGGGTATTAAAGACTTTCCCCAGGAAACATCCATATATTTAAATAACAGTATAAAATTCATTGAATCTCATACGTACAGACGCCCCATCTTAAATTCCCAGGATAGATAAAAAATTTTCTAATATATCCAGTGAATGCATAGACTATATTTAAAACTGTAATAGGCAACTATAGTACAAAATCAGAAAAATACTTAACACTTCGTTTTTACAAGACATTTTCCAGCTTCAAAGGAACACTGCTAGAAAAAGATTTTGTAACTTCAAAGGATAATAATTCACTAGCCAGGCCTTCTATGATGAGCACAACACGATACAAAGACAGACTGTAGGATTTAAGAAACGAAAGAAGTAAATTAGAAAAGAAGCACGATTTGTCCACCATAACCCATGCCGTTGTTTTAGAGATTACATGACTAAAAGGCCTCCGCCCTTCACCATAGACGAGACACCTTGCCGTGTGCAAAAGAATGGAGAGGCCCCGGGGGGAGCGTGACAGTGCAAACTCCGTCCCCGGCCGAGCGAAGCTGAGGACGGAGCCACCCCGAGGCTGGACAGAGGCACACCTTGTGCAGTGGCACATCCACTGTCAGCAGGACTGCGAGGCCACGCTCCCCGGTTCCTCGCGGCAGAAGACTGAAATGCTTCGAGCATTCAAACCTCAGGCAGTAGAAAGGGATACAAAAAAGTGCTAGAAACGGCCCATCATGGAACAGTGAAAAGTGCATACAGGCAAGAACATTCTCTTTAATAACAATTTTTAAAAACAGCCCTGCATATACGCCTGTTCTTCAAGAGTGGAAACCAAGACATGGAAATAAAAGGACCGATTAGCCTTCATTGCGTTTTCCAGAGACTCAACTATCCACCTGTGCTCAACAAAGATAGGCATCTCTCCTGCAGCTCATTAATAAACATTTTTGCAAACCACACGGACAGCTGAGATAAATCTTTCATCAGTTGTGAGAAATACTCGGGAGAGGTAAAGACTTGAGCCGCGATATCCTTCCAGCTGTGAGGATCCTTCCCAGCTCTTCCGAGTTGAATGATGGGGCCGTTTGGCAGCAGGGACCCTCCTCCCCCAGGACAGGCTCCCATTCCGGTCTCTCTCCTCTTAGGGAGGCCCTGTGCCAGTCCCGTCACGAGCGACCTCCCCTTCCCTTCCTTCTTGCTCATGGTGGTTTCATCCCCTGCCAAGCCTTTGATGACATTCAGCAGGTACAACTCTGTCCTCTCTTCCTGCCCGAACACGGTCCTCTCTTGCTTATAGAATTAAGTGAGAACTTTCCAAGGCATTCCAGGGCCTCTCTTCTATTAATCCGATCTTCCAAATTCGTCAACACCCTTTACTTCGCATGAAGCTGCTGTGCTCCCTCACCAGCCCCGTGGCCATCCCCCCATCTTTCATCTGTCCGTGCACCTCTCCTTCTATAAAGCCTGGTTTAAGTCCTATCCCTTTGAATGTTTTGCCTTTTCCCCAGTTGACTTTAATGTTGTTTTGATAACAGTTGTATAGTAACTACGTGGGAAGAATGAAGGTAAGGGACATTTAACAGAACGCAGAGATCATTTCCACTTTGTTCAATTAATTTTACCTAGTTGTTTATAAAGGACACCCACCAAAAATAATGAAACAACCATCGATCTCCAAATAGAGCCATCAAGCTAGAAGAGGCGTTAAAGAGCGTTTGGTTCAATCCCCTTTTCTACAGACAAGAAAATGTGAGGTCCAGAGAAGATGAAACTGAAAAACTTTAGTGATGAAGAAAGAGGTTAAGATGTCTGGAAGCATTTCTACACGGAGCAACCTGAGCGGTTCACAGACATTTCCTGTCTTCCAAGATCTCCATTCTGTCAACGATCGTATCACCACTAACTCTCTCCTCCTTTCCTCCGGACCACGGGCAGGACTTGGCCATGGTTCAGATGCCTAATTTGATGCACACAACATCCAGAATTCTTTCTTGTCACGTGCCTGGATATGACCTTTCATAGAGATCCCGCTTGCCTAGTAAATAATATAACTAAACACACGGAGACACATCACTGGAAAAGTCCTTCTAAAATCTATTTAACGTATACTGAGCATGTAGTATATGTCGGTGCCTCTGGTAACAAGGATGAACATACATGAACCCTGCCCTCAAGTCCTGGTGGTCTGGTAGAGAAGATAAAACTGTAAATATGTAATCACAGTACAATGTAGCAAGTGCAGAACCAAGTATGGAAAAGGTAGTGCGGGAGCAGTAATTCATCCAGAGAACGTTTTGTTTGTGTTTGTTTTTAGAAAGAATCAAAGAAGATTTCAAAAAGGACATGAAAATTCAGGGTTTCAAAGGAAAGAAAAATATGTTCTTTATAGTGCTCATTTCTTTTAAATTCTATATATGTACCAAGTTTACAAGGTGATCCTATATTCTATCAAATGACTGTTATTACCCATAACTATATTTGCAAGTATTTTTACAATTCACAATACTTGGTAACGTGGAGTGACTCCCTGTGAGCCTCATGACAACCTCAGGAAAAAGGCAGGACAGTTATAATTACCTAAACGATTGAAGTGATAAACCAAAGCCACCCAATCCCGTGGCTGGCTAGCACAGTGTCCTGTGCATGGTGGCATCTACCACATGACACCATGGGACACTGTGACCAGCACTGACTGGAGCAGATGAATGGTCTCAATGTACCTACAGCAAATTCTCAATCACTGTTTCAAGATGGGAAACAGGGAGACAAGAAAAAAGAAAGAATGAACGTGAAACCCAGATCCTGTAGTCTGTTAGACCATGGAGCCTCTATGCTACAGCCAAAGACCAGGTTACATGGTGAGTGTAACACCGATTAGTCAACCCAAAGTTTTCAGTTTCCTCTGTTGACCAAAATGTTTTGATCTCTACTTCAATCAAGTTATTGATGTAGGTAAATCAATAGACAATTTCCCACATATAGCAAGTCTTTAAAAATTAAAGACTGGCGAACCTCAGAGGACAGGGGGGACAGGAAGAGATAAACCAAAGAACTTACAGATATATATGCATAACCCACGGACACAGACAATAGTGTGGGGAAGGCAGGACGGGTGGGGGCGGGAGCAGGGAAGAGGGGGTCAATGGGGGAAAAAAGGAGGGACATCTGTATTATTACAAATATGAGAACTATGTCACTCTTTAGACCACATTTGATTTAAAAAACATAACCGAAACTCTAAGGAAGTCTTTCCTCTTTTCATTAATTTTGTTATTGCCCATTTCCTAGCGATTTATCAGATGGCTTGGAATTTTTTTCCAGCATCTCAGCCATTGTTCTCCTAATCTGAGTTGCTGGATTGTATTTGAGAAAATAATGGAAAGAAATTCACAATGTCGTGTTTTCTTTCACCGCTTCGCTTGGCAAGATCGATATCCAGGTCCTCATTTCCTTTTTCCTTTCCACCAGCACACTTCTGCTCCTTGGCGTTTTCTCCACTCCAAGCGGTTTCTTGATAATAGGAGGGAGATTTATTGCTCCTTGTTGGGGTCTGAACACTGCCTGTGAATGATTTGATAACAGTGTTCAAATGTTCTTTGTTTTGTTTTGTTCTGTTTTTTAAAGATGTGTATAGAGTTCTTGGCCTTATATTTTCAGTTGCACATAAATATGTGAAAAGTGAAAACAAGGACCCCAGAGCTGCATTATAAACGAATCGATATTTGAAAAACAGAAAAAGTAAAAAAATATCTAAGTCACAGGGCCTGCCGTGATGGAAATAGAAATATAGTTGAAATCTTAAAAAATACCAAGCTATGAAAAGTTTAGAAATCTAACCTAGCCTCTGAGAATGGCCAGGTGACAGGAAGGCAACGGGGCGGCATGTTTTCTCCGTGTCCAGAGGACAGAGAGACGACACTG